GCGCGTAACAGTCCCTCAAAGTACGAGTATTTTCTGAAATATCGGAGTGTGCGTGTGCGGCGCTGATGTTAAGAGAATTATTGGTCCTCCCAAATCGATACGCATGTCGAGCGGGTTGTCGCTGGGCAACGTTGAAGGGATGACCGGTGTGCGTTATCTATCGCGTCGAATCGCCGGCGTGCGTTTTCGCGGCGAGCAATTACGATATCGCCCGCTTCCACTTGCATTTCATTCGGGTCGCTCACTTTCCTCGAGGAGCAAGAGGGAGCGACCTTTGCAGAGGTCGCCGAGACCACGCTCGAGTTTCACCGGCACGCTCGTCGCACCGACGCCGATTCCCTCGGCGCGGTGTGGGACCCATCAACTCGCCGCTTCCTTCTTCCCGCGTTGCGGCTGAATTAATAATCGCTCCGAGCGACGTTTACGCGCCGGACGCGGGAATACCGCGCGAGGATACGGCCCGTAGTATTGTCTCGCGGACATCATTGGCTCTACGGGCTGTTGTTACGCAGCTGGGGGTGCATAACTTTGCGGCAAACGCGGCACTCGCTTCGTTCGCCGTTAAAGGGAACGGAGTAAATGCAGCATCTTACGTCTCCCCGCGGGAGGAAGACGTCGTCCTGGGGGGTCTGGGTTCTTCGCGGATCAACATTCGCGATCGTAGACACTGCTAGACACGCACACGTCCGCACGTGCGTGCATGCGCGTGCGGAGATCACTGGCGAGATATATACGAGCGCCGAATAATTAACTTGAAACCCGACCCGTTGATGGCAGCAGATAGTAGCACTAGACGACTGGAGGAGGCTTTATTTTCACACTTAGGTATCCTCGAATGCAACAACGGCTCTCTGCTGTCGCACAATGGAGCGATCCGCAAACTGAAGAATTTCCGAGGAATTCAATTTTTCAGGGCTCACGGCGACACAGAATTTGTTGTACTCTCTGAACCGGAATCCGAATGCTCGACGTGTTAAAAATAGTCGAAATAAATTTCGATAATTACTATATATTTCCGCAAAACGACTTAAATTCTAATGGAGACGGGAAACTTATAGTCAACGCAACTGGCTAATAGTTATTTCATTAGTTTATTACACAACGTTTTGATCCTATATTTTTGGGTCCTCTTCGAGTGATACTGCAAATCAACAACAACGCAGTTATATTAAATTCTAATGAAGGTATTCTTTTTCACAGTCTCATATCGAAAAATATGTATTTCCAAAGCGATCATATTGTGTGGCTTGTTCGCAATATACAGGGTGTCGGATTCGATATGGACGACTCCAAAGATTATAGTAGATTGGGTTAAACTGAGAAGAAAAGTTATGTACCATTTTACAAAATCCGTAATTATTATCGCTTAATTAAGAAAAACGTCTGAGCCAATAAGTGCACGGAGGAGCGGAAGGCCGGACTCGGCAGACATGCAAAATGGTGTGTTTGTTGACATCTCTCAAGAATCGATAGCGAGAGGTGGAGTCACGCATCGATCGATGAGAGACGGGGGCGAGCGGGGAGCGGTGAGCGGGCGAACGGCGCGCAGCGAGAGAACGCGCGACATATGACACCGCGCCGAAAAAGTTTTTCTGGTGGTAGGAGAATAATACACCATTTTGCATGTCTGCCGAGTCCGGCCTTCCGCTCCTCCGTGCACTTATTGGCTCAGACGTTTTTCTTAATTAAGCGATAATAATTGCGGATTTTGTAAAATGGTATATAACTTTTCTTCTCAGTTTAACCCAATCTACTATAATCTTTGGAGTCGTCCATATCGAATCCGACACCCTGTATACGAAAACGGTGTACATTTGTTCAAAGTATACTGTTAATACAATTTTTTTAAGTGTGTGTCACTTTTAAATACGTATTGAGCGTACAATTTTTGTGCAAGACAATCCTGTTTTTATTTTGTAATAAAAACTGCTTTTTATTTCGAGCAACAAACGAAAGACGCCATGTAGGTCCGAGCAAGATGTAGATAGCCCAATAGTTGTAATTTTAAAAATGTGAATTTATATACCGTTTTCCATCTTTGACCTACGCGCCCGTCTTTCTTTTCGGACATAACGCAGTTTTCTTACAGACGGAATTGTCGTCAATAAATTTACATATTTAAAATCGATAAACAATTTCTAATTATATTTAAATGCTTTAGCATTCAATAACCTCCTCCCCGTGGTGTGAAGACATTTTATTTCTAGTTTCTCAAAATTGCAGCACATGTAAAGTATTTCCGAAATTCCTATTGTTGATCAAGAAACTACAGTAATTGGTTTCTTTCGCATCTTCCTCTGTCTGCGCAGCATCGGAGTCTAAACTGGCCCGTAGAGTCTCGGTCCCGACTATACCGGTTCGTATCGTCGACAGGTAGTCGTTAGATCGGAGTAATGAAAAATAATAAGGATAGCAATCGCATAATAGCTAATAAACGGTTGGTATCGAAAGAAGGTCGGAGATAATTGCGGTGGCCAGTTACGTGGCGCAGCTACGGCGAAGAAGAAGAAGAAGAGAGAGAGAGAGAGAGAGAGAGAGAGGGGGGGGGGGAGGGGAGTCTAGATTTACTTCCTGTATAATTTTATTCCCCGATAAATCGGCGCTAGCGCTTCTTTCACTATTAACCGCGTCTTTTCCACGGACTACTAGACGGCTACCTTCGAGCCGAAAGGTGAGGCAAGAGTTCCGCCATGTCTTGTTAGGTAAACAAAGTAGTACGTGTGCCTCGGCCTGTCAGTGGCACATCGAAATGCATTTCAGCTCGAAGGTGGCGGTTTCCACTAGTACGTAGAAGTCCGCGGTGTTTTCGCGGATGCGAAACATCGAAACACACCAGTGAGAAACTCGTTACAGTATGTACGGTACGCGCGCGCGTATATCCATCTTCGCGCAATTGCGCAATCATAAGTCGCTGAGAAAGCGCAATGTGCTCTTCACGCTCTATTCCTTTACTTCGCACGTCCGTGTGCTCGCCGACATGTTGCACGATTAATTGCTACGGCGTGATACCGAGGAGATCCCCCGTTTTTAATGCGCGAGCCGCAGTTTTCCCGTCGACGCGCGAGTCCTCCCCGATCGCGCCGCGAATGTGTGTATTTTTCCGAGAGAGACGATCATCAACAGTCAGCAGTGACGCACATGATAAGAAATTAACAGCTAATATCATCAGTTTACTCCTTATCGAGACCCTGAAGAGACCTTTCAATTCGGTAAACCGAGCGAGAAAATTAAGAACAATGTAAATAAAAGACCAGACCTCTTGAAATAATGGCAAAGTATGTAATCGTAGACGCTTCATAATCTTTCTCGCCTTGAGCGTTGAAAAGATTTTGCAAAAGTTGTGTTAAAAATTGTCGCGCTTCGTTACAAATTTCTCTAGTTACAAGGCACGACGCAATTAGTCGTTCGCTTAAAAGGCAATTTAAAAAAAAATTATGACAGGAGCACTGGCGATAAGTCAATCGATAATCGGCCTCCGACTCGGCCGACAATCGACTCGAGCGTACGTTTCGCGATGCCTGAGCTCGCACGAAGCGGTCGCCCGTAACGAGCGAATAATGACCTGGGTCGCTCTCACGCGTCTGCCTCTCAGCTGTTCACTTCCGCTAGTGAAAGGTGCATGCACCGCAGCCGGGAGCTATGATAAAATGCACTTACGTGCATCCTCGTGGCGCGCATCGCTCGAGCCAAATGCACCAGCGCACCGATCGGCGATCGGCAGCGACGGGTAGATCGGGCACGAGTCGTCCAGATTGCCAAATTAGCAATAACGCGCGGACCTTCGAGATCGAAACTTGAAAATGGCAGCGCGCGAAACGTTACGCAATCGCAGCGAGAGGTCCACGAGGGGAAGAGCTTTCGAGAAATTGCCGAGAGATCCGAGAGAGTAATCTCTCGGTTGGCGCGTCTCTGTTTCATCGAAATTCTCTATACGGGATCCCCTCGGATTATACAGACGTCGACTTCGAATCTTCCATTCCTCAAATGCTCCGTTATGCAATTTGCGCACGCATACCACTGTCGCGCGCTATCTCTCGCGCTTCGTATGCATCATACGTGCGGATCTAAGTAGATGATTCAACCGATTTTCAAGAGAGAAACGCGGGAGGGATTCCTGAATGTTTAAGAAAGTTTATTCCCCGTCCGTTTAGATCGTAATCGCAATTTTCCTCGATTCGTAATACGCTTCGAAATACGAAATATTTCATCAGAAGAGAGCGCTCTCTTCCTGGAATTAATAATTTCTAGGAAGAGAGCGCTCTCTCCCTATAATCCTGAAAAATTAACTGTACCTTAATTTGCATTACAGCTTCCGTCACAAACTTCATTTTTTCCCTTGTTAAAATAATTTATCTCGCCGTTTTACGAAAGGCAATTTTACGACGTCGTTATCGAGCCGCCTGGGAGCGTAGAATTTATTTCGCACAAATCAAACTAAACTGGGACATTACAGACGTAAAACTCGTTTTTATAGGAAGCCAAGAAATCGGAATCTGCCACTGACCTTGATATCAAATTCAGGAGACACCAATTAGAGAAACACGCGACACGCATTACGCAAAGATCGTACGCCAATCGTTATATCTCGCAGCCTTGGAGATATCGCTACTTTGGATCGAAAAACAGCTTCATTTTCGCAATACCTCGATTGTATTCATGGAATTCGCCTGAGGATATATTTGCTTGAATTTTGCTGCATAACGATGGCACATACGTCAAAGTACAGAGTTAGTTTATCTCGAGTTTTAATCTCGACTATGATCTCGAGTGATTCTTTTAAAATACTTACTTTCTCAAGCAAAAATTAGAAATTCAAAATTAAACAATTTGGAAAATACTTTGGGATAATTGAATAAAAGATTAGTATATGCATACAAATCGCTCTTTTGTAATAATTTATAAGACAGTGAACTAATAGCCAATAATTATTTTTTATTTTATTACTTTATGGGTGACATAATATATATATTTTAATATAAGTAATATGAAAATATAACTAATTCCGTGTAATACTAATTTATATTATACGTGTAATATTGCTCTACATTTTGAGAGAAACTGATATACACAATATATCATAACAAGTTTCATATGTTTTCTAACAATATATAAATGTAACTAACTAAAATGTATAATGACGTAATAGTTAAATTAAAATTTATTAAAATATTTCAATACTTATATATTATCTATTTTTAGATCTATATTGTTTATCTCGAAATTATGGCACAGAATTACTAGCTTGCGAAAATTTTTTTTAAAGCTTTACACAGAGACATTTTGTTAGCAAGGCTTGTCCATTTTACTTCTGCGTTTCGTAGATATGACATTCGGGCTTGGGAGTTGAAAAGATTTCTTAAATGTCACATACGCAACGTGAGTGTAAAATAAGGGATGAAAACGGGAAGACATCGGCGAAATCCCATCACGTACGGCTTCGCGATTCTAACGGTTGGAATTTCTAAACCACGTCGCGTGGCGTCGTCTGCCAAGCCGTGCAACATAAGTTTAAAACAGTCATACACGTCTTGCCTCACAAGTGGCGCCTGTCCAATCGGTTTAGATCCATATTCATAAAGCATACCGGCGTACTTTGTTTGTGCAACAAACGTATATTGCGTACGATGCGCAATTACAAGAATCTTTTAATGGAAACAAACCTGCGATCTGATAAATTCGATTACGTAAGCTTAGCTTGATATGCAATGAATCGTGAAAAGTTACAAGAGGTGGGGAAAGATTCCCAGAAGTGGTAAAATGAAGAGCGAAATTCGAGTCCTGCATTGATTCGACGTGTCAAACAGCATCACACTCGTAGGACCGGGTCGGTTTCGATCTCGGCCGCATCCATCTCGGTCGCCATTCTTCTCCTGCGTGAGCAGTGCGCGAGATTGGGCAGCGGTTTGTTCTTGCACTTCTTGGTCCAGCCATCCCACGCCTTGAACCCTTCCTGATCGAAGATCTTCTTGGCGCACGCGATATCGTCCTGTATGTCATCGTTCAGGAAGTCCTCGCAGCGCTTATTGCAGATGCCACCTGTACGTCCCCGGGTGCACCACTTGGCACTGTTAATCTGCAGGATACCATGAGAATAGCTGGAGGCTGTCTTTGGTCCGGTTAGCAGCGCGGTGTTCATCTTACTTTCGCTTTGCATCAGGCAGACCCAGTTACTGATTAAGGACTTGCTGATTTTCGCTCGCTCCAGCTCCTTCGCAGCCTCGCATTCCGTGAATGTCTTCCCCTCCACCGGCAAACTGATAGTTACGACCGTCAAGACGAACGAGATCACCCACGATCCCTTCATTTTTCGACGAGAATGAATATTCGTCGAGGCTACCTGGCAAGTCGTATAAAAGGCGTCGTTCTCGATCACTTGAGTCACTAATTGAGCGATTGCTCGAGCGAATCGAGCAATGAACTTGCGACACGAAGCGATCCAGCGGCTGTCACGTGCGAAGAATTCAGTTGTCGGATAATCCAGGGAGGCTTAAACCTCAGTACGTTGCAGCCTTGTAGGTAGACTTTTGCATTAATGTTTAGGAAGACACATTAATAGTCAATGAAGATCTTGTCAGTCCGGCGTCTAATTCGGCACTTCAGCAACTTTAATTGAAACGTATTTGTCGTCAATCGGTGCGGTTTCCAATAAAGAAACTGACGTAAATTAACGACCTCGCGTCCCCCTTCCGCAGCGTAACGTGGCGCAAGGTGTTGACAACGATCGCACTGAGGATTCACGCGGAACTCTGTCTTATAAATGCGCCGTCTGTGCCGCTAATGCCGCGAACGATCGCAGACGACCTTGAGCTTGAGCGATATACGCTATTATCTCCCAACGCCGTAATAAAACGCAAGCCGATAAGACCGCTTCGCCTTCCGCTGTCGCGCGCCGCATATCGTGGCTTCGCTGAGCGCGCCTCCGCCCGTTGCATCTCCCATGGCTCTCCACGAGAATTTCACACTCGATAAGAGCGACATTCTCGAAGAGGTCATTAGCGTTTTCTACGACAAACACAAGATAATAGAATCGAAGTGTGTTCTCCAGTGCTAGCGACCCCTTCGAGGAAAATAACGCAGCCCCTCCTCCAGTCCCAGTGTAATTCTCCACGTGCGCGAGATCCTCGGGAATCTCGGGAAACCTAGCTCACGGAGACAAATCGCGACTTACAAAATTGCCTGTCGCACGAGCCGTAAACATTGAAAGCCAGATACTTCACATTTTGTTCTCTTGCTACGGCGGCGATCGAAGTTTTCCGGAAAAAAAAGAAGAAATAACTTGCAACGTTACATTGTATCGACGCGGCACATTATTTCTTCACTAGTTTTGAAGAAACTACTGTCGCCAGTGCGTTTGTTTCCCGCGAAATTATCAGATGCGTCATTCGAGTATAAATAACGCATAGCCGAACGCGGTTAATTTTGCACAGCGACGCGATAAGCATTGTTATATAATATTTGTTGTCCACAGTCTAAATCACAATTCTGAATACTCATGGTGCAATGCACCACATAAGGAAAAGTCACGCCGCTCTTCCGCGAAGTGGCGTTTTGTTATTATTTATTGCCAAACAAATCGTACGTTGCAAATTATCGCTGCTGCGTTTCTAAATTTATTTGTTTTTCCCCCCGTTTCGTCGAGCTAATCGAAAGCTCGATAAGCTATCACACGTAGCGCCGGCTGTTAAATCGATTTATTTCTCGATTCTTACAACGCAACAGATATTTTTATTTGCAGTTTGACCCGCACCCGCTTCTGATTGCGGAGTTTCCCAGAAACACCGATCTCCTCGCGATGAGTTCGATGAATGATTGATTACTAATACCAACAACTTCAAATATCGATAAGAAAATTAGAATAATTTACTGTGGCGAGACGGAATTAACTGATTCCAAAGTTTAACGAAACCAAGAATTCAACGAAAAGATCTCGTTTAACACATAAAAAGAAATCAAACATTTTTAAATAATAAAAACAACTTATGCTGCATTAGCAAAATTGCAATTGTATAAACAATAAAATTAAGATTGAAATGCTTATTCACATCCTGTAGATTTAAATACGCAGAAATAAAGGTATTTGTAATAAAATTCAAACATCGATAAAATCTGTTTAAGACACTTCTAAAACGTTAAGACTCCACTTAAATGTTTTATGACAGCTTTACAAATAAATTGAAGGTGAGAAGCAAATGAGTAGATAAGCAAAAATTTAAATATTATAATAAAGATTTATAAGTATTTGTGAAGTTGTCCATCAAATAATTAAATGCTTCGTTAAAAGTAACAGCATCGAAGAAAGATTCCCTGATCCATGCTATACATATATTTACCCTTTAGATTTTAGTTTAGAGGAATGACAAAGTATTGAAATGACGTTATTACTTAATATTGGATTTTTATTCAGCAAAGCGTGAGTATTATTCCAATTATTGTGGACAGAGGCGTTTTACGTGTAGATATATAAATTGCGAAGCGCGCAACGCGACAATTTAGAAATATCTATATCGAAATAATCGTAACGGCGCGTTTACATTTGGCAGTACACGAAATTGCGTCGAGAAATAGTTTAAAGGCACGATAATATCACATTTACTTGTAACACTTACATTTACCTACCTAGCCTAACGATTTAATTAAATGCATGTCATTACGTTCGATTCCTATGCAACTATCGGCAATTGCAACCGCAGAAGTGCACGATACTCGTCTGCTTTTAGCCTCAGTAAGAAGAAAAATCATTGGGCGGTGGAGAATAGTGTCATCACACAAAACTAACGACAAAAATCGTATTACGTACCTCCTTAACGTTACAAATCTATCAGCATTCCAGTGACTTTGGTGATCGTTAGATCGCCAGCTCTATCTTCAAAAATCGTAATACCAATTACGCTTCACGAACGAACTCGTGAAAATTATATTCTCAATTAAAGCTTCGGTATATACATTTGGCCACACAACGAAATATCAGGGTGTATTGATTTGTCATTTGTTTGCACGGCTCACGCAACTATGCTCCATATTTACACAAACAGCGTGACTAACGAGACACTCTGGCACCTAAAGGATTCGGACAGTTCGGTTTCTCAGTGTCCTTCGCGCGACCGAAGGTGTGCGAGAAAGATATTTTGACAATTTCCGCTGGGATTTCTAATAAAATTGTATCGCCCGACCGTCAACGGCCGACAGTCCCAGTGCGCCAGATCCATCGTTAACCAGCGGGATTCGTCCTCCTCTGTCGTCTTTCTTTGGCGAAGCGTAGTATGTTCGGGTTGCCGTAAATCATGTTGGCCAAGGTCTCGACTCCGGCGTACGTGTCAGCCTTGGAGCCCATGCACATGGAGAACTGAAGGCTAGAGAGCTCTTTGCTGCACTCTATCTCGTGATACACGTGCACCAGGTGCCTGTCCGCCGCCCTGAAGACGTCGAGGCCCGACTTGACTGCCTTCTCGAAGAATTCCACGTCCTCCTTGCCCCAACCCTGAATCGAGAGATCTAGACCGCCCACGGTGCGATAGTCGCTCTTGTACAAGGAAACAATTCCGAAGCCGTACTGCCTCCAGTGCCCAGAGATCTCGTTTATGGTAAACTTGTCCTGCTTCCTGGCGTCGCCGTAAACGACTTTGGGATTGTATTGGCTGAAGACTATCGGAAAGTATATTCTTCGACCCGATAGCGTGTTCAGGCGTATCCTGTTGAGCGCCGAGCCAGTGAACACGATGTCCACGTCGATGAACAGCATCAGATCGTCGGCCTGCATCTTCGACGCGCCCAAGTCTAGAGCTCGGGCCCGGGAAAACTCTCCGAAGACCGGCAAAACCTCTATGCTGGCACTGCGATATTTGTACTTGAGCTGCTTGACCAGATCTATCGTTTTGTTGAAGGTATTTTCGCTTTTGTGCTGGTAGAGCACGACGAGCAGGGACGTTTTCTCGTCGCTAGTCAAACAGATGTCCTCGTAGTTCTGGAGGAACCTTTGAAAGACCTCGTAGCGGCCCGACAGAGGTAGGATAAAGTTGATGATCTTGCTTTGCACCGGATCGTCCTCTTGAGAGTCGAAATTGAGATTCAGAAAGCCACGGTGGACTAAATTGTGAATAGACTTGCCGTCTGACTCGTGCCGAGGTTCAACTTCGATGCCATTTACTGTCTCACGCATCTCTAATCCTGCAAGAACATTTAACGTCTTTTAAATGTAAATTAGTACTTAAATGTAGTTCTACTTAAATAATTTAATAATATTAATTTAATAATATATGAAATCATGTGGTTATATTATCATGAATTTCATCATGCGAAAACGTTAGACTCCAATGAAATCTTTTATTTCAAGTAAACTAGTTATTCAAATTATAATTTAGTAAATAGGAGTTTATGAATGTAACAGCGCACCGATAAAATGCTGATGGAGATAGACGTGTCTTCTGACAGGGAGAGTAACCTTCCTGCCCCGGTACTTTCGATAAACCAACAAAAGATCTAATATCGTGTCAGCTCCATAAGAATTCACCCTCCTGTACCCGTAAAGAGCGGACCGTTCCTCGACAACGCGGCCCCGCTGCCTTGAATAGGAATTAATGGACGCCATGACCTCTCGAGTGATATCCTCCAGACCCTCTTTGATGTCGCTGTGAATACGTCGCCTGGGATTAGAATCGGTCAGACTGTATTCCAATTTCAAGAGGAAGTTCCACGGGATCACTTCGTCGCTCGTCGCCGGCTTGAACGAACGAAGACTCGCCGGCACACCTGCACAAACAAGACTTTAGTTAGCAAATCAATGAATCCAACCGGTTTGCGTTATTAACACCGAGTACTGAAACTTGGTGCATCTGAAAAATACGTCGCCGATTCGAGATCAAGGCAGCTTAAAAATTTTATGAAAGTTGAAACTTGAAGTAGGCTGGGGGTAAATTTCTTTTCTCCGCGATACCCGATATTTAATTATATCTGTACTTTATTACATAAGATAGATAAAAAAGATTCCTTTTTTCTAATTGTATATAGAGGATATAAAAATAATATTAGTATAAAATTGAGAAAATTCGATATTAGAGAGTAAATGTTTGTCAATTAATTCTAGTTGATTCACTTCAAATAGAGTGTTGTAAATTATGATTACGAATGGAATCGTAAAAACGTAACAATTTTCAGTCGACAACTTGGGAAAAGAAAAATATATAAATACCGTAGCATGTAACATGTTCGATTAATCGCTCTAATGTTAATCTGAGAGTATCATTGCAACACGTTCGATAAGAAAATCGCGTTTGTACCAAGCGGTTATGAAAATGACAGAAAATTAAATGGAGGAAGTTAGTTAATGTGGTAATTTCTTTTGAGATCTTGATGTTCCTTGAACCGCGACCGCGATTGCACTTTTACCGACAAATTATGCCCGACTCGAGTTTTCCTTGGGCGAATTCTGATTTATTGTAGCGTACTGTGCACGAGTTACGTGTATCAACGTAATAATACGTGATTGCGAAATTTAAGAGAAATGTGAATAATAGAAATGGTTGGAGTAATATAGAGAGACCGCTCTCGATTATTTACGTCTGCTAAATACATCGAAATGTGTCGTGTATCTAGTTTCAATTTCATGTGTCAAACTCTTAGAATTAATCAAGCTGAATAGCTTTATTAATAAGAACGCTAGAAACGCCATACTAAGTCATAAACTCGTCGGTCTAATCGAGATATACGCATTCAGAGAAAAAAATAATTACTACAACTATAAAAATGTGAACAAATAGCACCTCAACTTTTTGTCATTGGTTATAGAAATTAAAAAAACTATAGTGAATTGAAATACAGAAATATTGTCAGATTTATCAAATGATATGATTAATACAACTATATAAATAACGTTGTTGTTGTTCTAACATGATTACCTAAACTATATTTTTATGGTCATTATTATCAAAACATTTAGTTGCTTGAAACATAATGTAACGGTAATACGGATAATCAAAATTTATCTCTCAAAACTATATAAGGTCATCTTACCTTATATTATTCCCCTATTCTAGCAATTAAAATAATGACATTAATGAAGTTCTGAAACAATATAGTTTATGTGTGACAAAGGCTCGTATGATACAAATCAGAATCGAGAGAAAGGGCTCTGAGCCGTGACGAGATGTATGTGTCAATATTTAAAAATAATTTATTGTTATAATAACATAAAAATTAGACGTTTCGGTCGTATTCTAGACCATCTTCAGTACAGTAATATTATATAAAGTTTCGTGACGGTTAACATTAAACGTAAGTCGTGTACAGCATAGTAAAAACGCAGTTTGGAATAATTATCATGTACGCAAATGAGTTATTAATTTGTTGGAAGTGCTGTGAACTGGATCAATTTGTTCA